GTAATATCTTTATGTAACTTTTTTTCGATCAGAGCTGAAAGTTTGGAAATTATTTTTTTGGGATAGAAAACAAATTCAATAATTACTTCGATTTCCTGTATGTTTTTGTGAAGACATAAAGTGGAAGCTAAATCAGTTTCAATTTAAACTTTATTTACGGTTCATGTTGATGTTCCAACTTTTCCATCTATACTTTTCGGAATTCGTTAAAGACAATTGTATATGTATATTAAAGTCTTTATAAAGGAACAAAACTGCAACTAGCTTTATTTTTTTCGTTTTTTTATTCAACGTTGTCTTTTACTTCTCCTTTTCGAGTTCAGAATTTTTTCCATTTGAAAATTCTGCTTTTTGGAGAATTGAATTAATCATGTAAAAAAGAAATATAAAAATTTTTCTTTCCTTCAAATCTCTTCTTGCTTACCGTATGATATAACAGAACATTTTTCTTGCTTGAATTGGCAATTTTTTCTACATTCTTCATATCATTTTCAAATCAGGTCTTCATAAACTTAAAATAGCATGATTCCTTGATCAAATGTCAATTCAACAAATGATAAAATAATGGAAACCAAGAGAAATTCAATTTGCACTCTATAATGAACAAAATTAATTACTACGTGTTTCTTTTTATTGAAAGAACTAGAAATTGAACACTAAATTTCAAATTTCACCTCCAAGAAAAATATTTTGAATACTTCCCAAATATATAAAATATCAGCCGCACAACGGTTAATTTGACAATAATGACCTTTCCAACGAGTTTTTCTGTTCTCATTTAACCTCCCTCCCCCAGACTCAGCCAGGTTGCTTCTTACAAAAAATGAAAGCACGAATTCAAGAGAAGACATTTGTCGCATTTTAAATCCATGCCCATCAGTTGCTATGAATGGTTTGTTCTGTTTCATTTTCCATTTTTGTACTCTATTCTGTCCCCTTCTTTTTGCTCCCGGAATCGGGTATTTTCTTCCCCGATTCTGAAATCTTTTGATATTACTTCTACTGTTCTCTTTTTTTCCAACACTGTACCGGTATTCCGTTCCTACCATTGTTTCTTGTTCATATAATTTATTTGTAAAAAACTGATTGCCTTTGCAATCCACGGCTTTCAAGTGCCTATTTCCCGTATCTTTTCCCAATCCTTATCCTCATCCTCACCATTACCATCACCACAGTTATTGATTCCAGGCAAATGCTTTTCTCACAAATGAATTTTCCCCAATTCTTCACATTATCGAAGACAGCCATCGTGAAAAGTTTCTAGTATTTACCGAAGGATGATTTCTAAAAAGATAAGTTTGTCTTCGTTGCTTTAAAATTGCTGACAGTCGATTTATATATGTGTAGTGATAATATGTAGTGATACCAATCTGCATATGAGTATATGAGCAATGGTCGAGTTCAATTCTCCTATCAGTGAGGATTAGATAGAAATTGGGCATCAATCTTTTCATCTATTCTTTCTTTTCTTTATATTCTGTTATCGTACAGTCGTATTCAAAAGAATTTTTTTTTTCAAAAAATTTAATTTTTTCCAAAAACCTACATTATTTTGTGAAATGAATATAGTACAGTTTCTAACTACATTGTTTATACTTTTTTCCTTTGAGCCTTCTTTATTTATAATTTTTATTACGATAACCGCCTCGTATAATATGAATGCAAGCGATTCTGATCGTGTTATTCGTACTTGACTGTAGAATATGTGGTCTGTTTTCCTAATTTATTTCATTTCATTGCTCTTAACGACTGATCATCACCAGTATGATAATGATTTCATTTGAAATGTGAACTATATGCTTTAACATGGGGAAATTTGTGAAGCCTTCCCTAAAAATGTTAAATGTTTAGTTAATTTTGAATATTTGATTATACTGTTATATAGTGAGAAAAGTCTTATGCGCATGTAAGTAATATTAGTAGTCTTTTTTCAGCACCAGCCGAAATCATGTGCTGTCGCAATTCTTTTCTTTGACTTCTTTTGGACAATCCTTAAATTTGGGTGATCTGCGATATCAGTATACAAATAATTAGTTAAGTAAAATAAGTTGATTAGATGTTCACAAAGTTAAGCATTTTTAGAAAGTTCAGCATTTATATGAAAACGGAGATTGAAGGAAGACACAAGGAAAAACTAATTTTCCCACCAATTGTTTACAGATTCAAATCTTAGAACACCGGTAGTTATAGATAAGATCAATATCATTACTGAAAAGTGTCGGGATAGGCAGGAAATCAGTTTTTTTTTTTCATAAATCGCATTAAATTCATATCTATACGAGCGCTGTTGAGAAACTATTTTGCAAAAAATAATGTTTTGATATTGTTCTTTTTGTTTTTAAAAAAGTTAAAACTTTCTGGGAGCTTTCCATCTTATTTGAAAAAAAGTAATAAAAAAATTGTAACATCGCTAATTCGCAGCTTATATTTTGCAAGACGACCTAATAAAATAAAGCTGGCTGCCTTGCAACTGAAATCAGTCGAATTGAAAAAAGTTGAAAAAATTTTTGAATGTCAAATTATTTTCGTGACAATACAATTCAGTGTTGTGATAATTAGACTTCGATTCCCAAATTTGTGAGAATGAAATCTCTTCCTAGCTGAAAATAATTTTGATGTGCAATATGGAATACATAGAAAATTGAATACACCACTAATAAAAATCTCGCAGTTAAATTTCGACAAAGATAAAAAGACATCTCACAGTTAAATTTCACTTCAACGATCTCAAAAAGCATTGTGCTAGCCGAAATAAGAAACATCCATTACATTTTTGATTAACGAAAGGAGCAGAAAAATGTTACCATTAGGTAACGACAAATAGCAAATTAATAACTAAGCATCATTGAAAGGTTAGTATGTAGTTTATCTGGTTTGAGATATTTTTATTGGAAACGAAATTAAAAAGCGTTTGCTTTTTAGCAATATTTGCATAGTTTTCTAAACTCTGGCTTGGCTGACCCTATAAAGTAAAATATGTAACGTATTCCTATCTGTACCTTTAAAGACTTGAAAAGAGTAGAATGTCAATTGGTAACTCGAAATCTGATATACTATAAACTGATGTTAGAGTAATAGTGAATTCAAATTTAACTGTGGCAAGAAGCGAAATTAAATTTTGGGATGAAAGAATTTTTGTGCACAACTGTTGTTATTTTCAATTTAATTTTATATTTCAAAAATTTCGTTTAAAAAAAATGACAAAAAAAAGTAAATTTTTAAAAAAAAATTACTTCTCAGCTAATTATCGATTATAATTACGTATTCGTCTCAATCTCAAGCAAATGAGTAATACATCTCGATGTGTAATATATCCCAAATAGAGCAAAAAGTAAATTTTTAAAAATTTACTTTTTGAGTAGAGCAAAAAGAGCTCTTTCATTAAAGAATTTTTTCTTCCAAGAAGAGAAAAAAGGAAATAAAGAAAGTTCGATTACATGCGAGATTCGTGAATGTAGCCATGAAGGGACGAGCAGACACGTGAATAAGTAAATGAATGATGTCAACGAACGTCATCAATCTTAGATCCATATAAGATGGTGTTATTTAACTCTAGCTTTTCGATTTCTCAGTCCGCAAGAAAAAACTTTCATATTTTTAATTTAAAATTAAGAAAAAAATGCAAGGGAGAAAAAAAATCTTTTCCCTCATGCACGATTTTTCATCAGAAAATTTGAAGAAAAGCCGTTTAGAAGATGAAATAAATATTTGTGCACGATGACGTGTGTAAAGCTGCTCGTTCGATTCTGTAAATCTCTTTCGGTTAATTTCTTTGAAATAAATAAGTGGAATTCCTGTTTGGAATATTAGTATGAGTTATTTCCTTTTTCATATGTTTGGAATGACTAATTAAAATGATAAAACTTTGATAAAAGTAGAAATTTAAGGATTACGAAAGCGAAATTTGCATATTTTAATGTTGTTACGAATTGTTTAGTTAAATTGTTTAACAATATCTGAACACATGGACAGTAAGCTAACCCTTGTTCGTCTCTCGAAATTTCAAAAAGAGGGAGAGTGGAAGCTTAGATTAGTTTCAATTCTAAAAAGATATGATGAATAGATTTTAAAGCTGATGTTTGAACCTTAAATACTGATTTAAAGGCAAATGATGGTGGGTAGTTGGCATCATCAGATTCCGATACTACTCGTTTTGCCTCATCTCATTATTTTAAAGCCTTGGGATAAACCAAAAAATTGAAATGAATGAAAATGAATTGGAACAAAATTGGAAAAAAGACACTTCCGAATAACAAGACAATTGAAATAATATGTAGTTTCAACTTATCTTCACTACTGTACAAGAAAAACGAATGAAGAGTACTGCAAAAAGTTTTTCTTTTTGTTTTTGAAATAAATCATGAAAAGGAAATGATGGCCTTAAAATTTGCAGGATGAATTTTGAAGAATAGATTGCGTGATGATTACATGATTTTAGAGTACTTCAAAATTGAATGTAAAACTGAAACACGAATGAAACGATAGATTTTAAGTGAAAAGCACCATCATTATGAGATAAGCAAGCTGAGACGCTGTCGCGCAGATGTGATACATTTTTTTCAAAACTTTTGGAGAAGGCAAAGATTGATTACTGATGAACGTTTAAACTTTCAAATGTTTAAACTTTACATGTCTTCTTACGTTTGCAATCATTTTGCAGAGTAGCGTGCAAAAAAGCATCTTTCAAACTTTCTCAAAAAATAAGTAGTAATAATGATGGATTGGACGTGTTATTACATGAAGAGAGTGAAAGTGTAATACCAACAAACGAACCAATCGTAAGCAATAAAGATCACGATAGTGTTGGGCAAGGCAAGTGTTGGGCAAGTGGCGAATTTAAACAACATTCAGGCTGTAGAGCCAAACGAAATGTAATACGTGTAAAATAAACTTCAAAGTTCCAAATTTATTTAAATATTTAGAAATCTTCATGTTCACAACCTTGGATAAATGATTGTTTCAGTAGCAAACCGATTATCAAAATTAACAAAACACATTAACTAATGCTGAAAATCGATTAATTTCTTGATGCTTTCTATTATGCGCCATTTAGTCGGTAAATAAAAGGGCTCGAAAATATGCGGAAATGGTGTGTCCCAGCCACAAACACGATTAATTGGAGCCTCCAAATGTAAGAAACATCGTTCCTGAATATTTCCGTATTATCAAAACTTGGAACTTATGAATTCATTTCACACAATACAAATGTGCTTGATAGTAGTAATCAGAATTATATTTGAATTTTTTGAAATCAAATCTTCAAATTTACTAATAATCAGATAGTTTTAGTAACAATCTTGGTATATAATTTAATAGCTCACCTGAACTTTCGTTGATATTTCGGCCGCAAATCCGGAGGTTATGGGTGCTTCGTGTGTAATTATTAGATGACCAGTTCTATTAACACTCTGAAATTAATGTTCAATAATAAATTCAAACTGTAAACCAACAGTAGCATTTTTAATTTTGTTAAAAAAATCCATGATCATATTTCACATTCTCAACAACAGCGCAGCAGTGCATAAATATTGAAAAAAAAAATCAATAAACCTTCACAACTGTATCGACATCCCACGGTAAAATAGTTCTCAAATCAATCACTTCACAACTGATACCGATTTCTTCTTCAGCGACAGTCACAGCGTCAAGCGCAACGTGTAATTGAGTACCCCAACTAACAACTGTTATATCTTTACCTGTAAATTCAATGTATTTTGATATATATATATCATTATATTTATCATTTCATTTCTAAAATTTCAAAGATAAAATATCTAAAATTTCAAGGATAAAAGAGAGATCAATAATGTGGAAATTTGTATGAAATGAAAGCACCTTTGCATTTTCAAAGCTTTTGGAAATTTTGTAATGAAGCAATCATTATTATTAAATTAGAACTTATATATTACAAATTAAATGAAAGTTTGCAAAGCATTAAAATCGTAATATTACATAATGAATAAGCTATCGAGATTATTCTTCAGAATAATAAATTTAACAAAAAAAGTATTTTCAAACCTTCTTTGACAATTTCAGCTTTTTCAAGCTCAATCTCATAATCACCAATCGGAACGTTTTCAACGGCTGCACGATATAGCAATTTTGGCTCAAAAAATATGCATGGATTTTCGTTTCGAATACTCGCTAATAGTAAACCTTTCGCCTGAATTGGTCCACGTGGAACCACCACCTTAAACATATCTAATTATTTGCTTTCGTTTGGGAAACAAAATATTGAAATGCATCACATTTTTGTTTTTCTTTTGAATCAACTCTCCAAGTTTGAATTACACTTTTTAGTTCAATATAGAGGAATCATTGCTGGAATGGATGAGAATCCTAAATGAAGAAGTTTTCGCAAAATTTCCGTTAGCAAAAATTCGCAAGATTTTTAGCAAATAATCCATTCCCTTCAGGCCTGGCATACCTTCAAACCTGGCGTATGTGTGAAATAAGCTTCAGGGCTTTGTGAATGATATAAACCGCCATGACCTACAGCACCCCATGTTGTTCTTATTGTTAATTTTCCACAGTTAAACAAATTTCCAGTTCTATACCGATACTTAGCCGCTTCGTTCACAATCTAAAAGCATAACAGTGAAAAGATATTATAAATTGATAAGCCATCTGTATAAAGTTCATTCGACTAAATTCACTAAAGTTGAAATGAAATTGAAGAAATACTATTTCAATTAATATACATATACAATCACTAAAACTTATTATGCGTCCAAACGTTTATCAATTTATTAAAGATATAAACTTGTGGAATCAAAGTAAATTACCTGATCAAATGCTGGAAATATATAATCAGCAAATTGTATTTCTGCAACAGCTGTCGAACCGCAAACGGCCATACCAATACCGAAACCGGCTATTCCTTGTTCGCAAATAGGTGTGTTGAAAACACGATCTTTACCTGTAAAAATAAATCAGATAGTTGAAAAAAGTCTTCATGATCAATCTCTCAGATCTGGATGATATGCAAAGAGATGGAAGTATTTTTAAGTAGGATTTTTTGAAGCTTTTTTTTAAGATTGCCTTAAATATTGAACTAGTCAATAAAAGCTAAAATTTACACACAGATATCCATTTTAAAAGTGACCACATAATCTTAGCAAATTTTTAATGAAAGATTATTGCATAAATGAATTAAACAAGAATCTCTTTTCAATGAAATCAAATATTCTGATTTTTACAAATATTCCTCTGAAACACCAAACTTCTCATAACACTCTTTCCAAATTTTGCACTTCTTAATTTCACTCCATTTAGATTGGATTTCTTTTATTAAATATGAAATATTTTATCAATAGTTGCTGCGTACAGGAATGAAAAATTTTTCAAAAAAAAAAAAAAAATAAAAAGCACACGAAAGCTCACTGAATTGCGTGAAGTAAATTAAACTTTGATTTTGAAATTAAACGTTCTTCATTAAGTAATGATAAACACAAAGATAAATGATTTGTGTTAGTCAACTGTTTAAACTTTACAAACCATATTTCTCCTGTAAGCCAACAGTACATCGGAAAACGCCACCGAATGCAACGTCTTCACCGAAAAGACATGCGGATGAATCGCTTTCCAGTGCAATATCCATTGCATTGTTGATCGCTTGACATAAATTCATTTTACTCGTTTCACCTTAACAAAGCTGACTGAAATGCATTAAAATCAAAAAGTTATAAGTATGGCTGATTAAATTTATTTTTAGTACCTGAGCTAAAATATTTCCACAATATTTTAGCTCAGGTACTAAAAAAGTTATCTTAGCATCATCATTATATAAGATCTTTTTTTCATTCTCCAATGCGTAAATTAATTAAATATTTTGATGTAAGAAAAGAAAACAAAAACAAACCAAATGAAGGATCTGCATGACCGGGTACAAATACAACACCTGATGCACATCGCATCGGGAATTTTCTAAGATTTATCAGTAATCTCATAATATGTCCTGTTACTGCCATTGTTTTTAATAGCTAAATGATGAATAATCATTATTAAATATCATTAAATTTTACATTAAAAGTCATATACTGTCATTATGCTTATTTACAATGAAACAAAAAATACTATCAACTCTGATTGCTCGATTTTTCTTCAAGATTGCATTTTTTTTAAATAGCAATCATCATATTGTTTCCGGTAACTTTCAAAAGTAATCCATTGCGAGTATTTGTTTTTCTAATAATTTTAATAAATATTGGCAAATATATTTTATTGTGTACGTTCTATTAAACAGTATATGAAGAATGAAAAAATAGAGATAGAGAGAGAGAGAGAGAGAGAGAGAGACGGAGAGAATATAAAATACAAAGTGCATGATGGGAAAGCTGATTGGGAAGCTACTGTTGACAAATCTAAATAATATTTAACTCATGAATATTATTACTGTTAAGAAGTCATTGGGTATGATTCATGGAGAGTGTCAAATATAAATGAAAAAGTCTCTTGACAAAATACGCGAGGAGTGAATGAAGGATGCTTCAGAGTTGTACAGAGAAAGCGGCGGAGTGTTGTTTACACGGAGATCAATCAGTGAGAGAGTGCCGTTTATGATTCTTCTTTGTACAGTTATCGCTCTTTCATTCTTCCATCAATTTGCTTACCCGAACTGAGTGCAAAGGCGCTTCTTACCTAATGCGCCAACTTCATCTCAATCAATAACATTCATTCATTTCATCCAATAGAAATTGCAAAAAATTTGAAAAATTTTATAGAAAGCTAAGTTTTGTATTGAATCATTAAAAGAACATTTTCTTCTTTCTTTTAATTTCTCCCTTCTCTCAATCGTTATTTATGCTCAAAAAGAAGAATATCCTAAAACTAAATTTTCCCATATGCAATGAAGCTGACATTAAAGAGAGGCATAAGTGATGGAATTTTCACGTCTAATGGAATCTTGTAGAACAATAACTTTGGCGAAGAAAGGTTCTCGGATAAATGAATTATTTCTTCATTCCATTAATAAATAGTAAAAAATACTAGGTAATTAACTTCGAAATTAAATGCCAACACCATGGGTGGCATGAATCCTTCATTTCATTTGAATGGAGAAAAGAGTGTGTATGAAATTGTTGGAGAAATTTAAGCTGTAAATGTTTACATTCGGTCCATGGCTGGATTTTGTTGAGTTGGATGATGAGTGCAACTATTGAAAAAAATTGGAGATCATCATGATATCGAGACTTGCCATAATTGTGGAATTAATGAAGCAAAGAATGTTAACCGTGTACCTCCTCAAGTATAAAGGAACCATTCCCATAGAATAAATCATGTTGCAATAAGTCTCTCCAATATAGAATAAAGTAATAGCATTGGACAGGAAATGATGTCCCCCATTTCACAGATAACCGGTTGCTTACTGATATGATGAGAGAGAGAGGGTCCTTTTAAAGAAATGGTTTGAAGAATGAGGAAAATCTTGCGTTAGAACTGAAACGAATAACTTAGAATGTGATGATCAAATTAGTGTTCATACTGAAATAATATTTTATCAAGAAACTAAAAATTTGAAAGATCTCATTAGATTACTATTACTTTATTCTATATTGAAGAGACTTCTAACCGACAACTTATCACTGATAATTTTAATCACATGTTAAATTCAATCTCGGCGATCGTTATTAATATTCTAACACAACAAATACACATTTTTAAAAAATGAATTTGATAAGTTATAATAACAAATAAATCAAAACTTGTTTTTCTCATAACAGTATACATTTAGCAAACAATTTATAAAAATATTATTCTATAAATTTTCAGAATAAAAATTCCTTGAATTCTTTTTAATGCTGTCATCAATAGCTAACTTAATTTCATTTCTGTCCCCACTTTAGGATATCGATAAATAGTTCTAGCAATTGTTGCATCTTTCGATGTATCTTTTGTTTATTGCAAAAGTTGCTTAAATGGACGGATGATCCCGAAATTGTTTACACCTGTCTCGCAGTGCACACAACAACTTCATTTGTTACAGCAGCATTTATCCCAATTTCTTCAGCATATTACCGATATAACTTACCACTTAATGAATCTTCCTCCTCAATCATCCCTTAACAGAAATTCAATTAATCGTGTCAGAGCATAATTTCGTGGACAATCTTAAAACATGAAATTTAACTTTTAGCTTCTAAAATATTATCAAAATGTTGAACCTTGCCATCAAATAACTTTTTAGCAAAATAATAATAATAACAACACTTAATTTGAACATGAGCAATGATTTTGAATTTGAGAAATATATCTTAATTCATTATAAGGCATTGTTTTTTAAAAGGGACGAGTTTTTAATTTCAAAAATATCAGCATTGTTTTGATTTATTAAACATGAATAGTATTTATTTTTTATATTTTAACTGTTATCGAATCAAAAAAATTTATTTATGTGCTGTTTGTTCTAGCAGAATTGATCTGTTGATTAAATGGAAGATATGAAAACACACATAATTTGTCTTTGTTTTAATTTCTCAAACAGGAATGGTGCTTATTTCATAGTACAATACTTGGAAATGTTAGGAAGAATAAATAATATCATGGGTAGGAGTTTTAGTGTTAGAATTTTATTTTAAAATGATTGAAAATTTATTACTGGTTGTTGCATAACACAATGACACAGTAGCAATAACAATGTGAAAACAATTTCATGATTTTTTTTATCGAGCTAAATAACCAATATATATTAAATGTGAAATTTTCAGCTGCTAAAGCATAATTTGACAGAAATCACAATGACATCACAAATTGAATCACTTCGAGCAGAATTGAAGCATTTCATACAATTGATAAGCTCTTCAAGTTTTTAAATTTAAATGAGCACTGTATATTTTTGTGTTAGAAAGAGAGTGTAACACATTTGTCACATTTGTCAAAAATATGAATTGTAATAAACAGGAATAGAGTACTTTAACAATCAAACTTTTCAATGAATTTGTGACGAACTTTGCACTTTGAATCTAGAATGAAATTTTTGGAGATGAAGTATGGAAGTGGAAGCTATGAACAGAATGCTATAAAATTTGTCTAAATCAACATTTTTGAGGTAGTAATAAATTTTTTGACACTTCTTTGAGATAGTAATAAAGGTAGGAACAGACTTTTTTGACATTTTTTGAAGTAGTAATAAAGAGGAAAAAAGAGAAAGAAAAAATTTGTGGAAAATAAAACATAATTACAACAAAATAGTTTACCACTACTGGACTTTGGCTAATTTTTATCCTTCACTGATGCGGTAGCTTATTTTTTCTACTATAATAATTTACTCTATTATTCGCTGTAAACAACACGAATCGATTCTACTCAATTTGCTATGAGATAGAATTTACTGTCTCACTAAATATATTTCATCTAAAAATAAAACATCTGAATTCTCCGTTGGAAATAAACAGTTAAATTATATATACTACAAATATACTATCGACAAATTGTAGTGTTTTTAATATTAACATTTTAAAAATTATGCAATTTTCAAGAAAAATGGGTAAAATTTAAAACTAAATTCTCATTCCTGCAGTGTTTTTTGCCCGTATCAATGATTTTTTTATTGTACTAAAAAATGATTATTTACTAACTGAAAACAATAAGTCTATAAAGAAAAAAATTAGAAAGCATTTGAGAAATTAAAGATATAACTGGGGCATATCAGCACTGAGCTTCTAAGAAGGTCTATTAACAAAAATTCAATCAAGTTTAATTCCCAAATGAATCGATGAATTTTAAAAGAGCACGAAAATCCGCTGAAAATGCATTAATGCAACTAAAGTAGACGATAAAAGCTTTTCTGTCTATCAGTAACGAAATATGGAGTACGATTGGACAAGATAGAAAAAAAGATTTGAATCTAGTGTGCAATCTCTTATTTGATTTTAAATTATTAATGCTCATTTTTTAGATTAATTACTGCGCTCATTTTAAGTTTTTTGCTTGAAATAAATTAAATGCAAATTATAATGACCAAGAATGAAATGCTGTTGAATGTTTTTAAAATTTACCAGTAAACAGAAAATTCATATAATCGGTACCCTGAAAATCATAAATTCAGATTGCAATGATAATTTAATATTGGAAAAACATTCACTTTTATTTTCACCTTTTTCGATTTTTCATATTACACAATTCTTAATATGTTCAAATTTAGCAGATATTGTGTACAATTTATGATGCTTCATATTTCTGACTTTCGAGAGGTCGACTCCGGTTTCTGTTGCTGTTGCTGTTCGGAAATATTGGACTGTCCTGCTGATAATATTTTTGGATCTAGCAATTCCGGCTTCGAGAAAAGCATCAGTTGCAGCTTTGCTGTTTCGTTTTTTAATAAAACAACTTGACTACGAAGTTGGATATTCTCCTGGAATTATCGGATTAAACAGCTAGAATTGGAACAAGAGCTGTTCCTATTGAAATTAAATAAAATAATAAAATAAATCGTACCTGCTCGAGGAAAGCTGCTCGTGCTGCAACCGCTTCTTCTTTTTGGCGTCGTGCATCTCTTGACCTCTTTGCTGCATCGTTGTTTTTTCTCCGTCGTTCATAGTAAGCTTCATCCTAAAACAATATTCTTAATTTAGAAGTCAACATGTTAATTAAGAATTTTAAAATTTTTGAAAACAAATTTGAATTTTGATCTAAGTCCAAAATATCTGACTTTATCAGCGGTCCTCAAGCCATTTATTTTATGGATTCCCAAAAGCAACTGGTCAATGTTTTTAAATATATCCAAATGAATTCATTGAACCAGAAGAAATTTGTATATTACAATTTATTGTCCTTCCGATGAGTGACAACAATAACAAAAAATGACAATAAATCATTCAACTACTGCAGGTCATAGTAGCCATCTCTGGAGAGTGCTCAGATCACCCCGGCTATTCTCTCTCCTCCTGTCCACTCTCCATGTCCACAGCATATCAATCATCATTTCTTGTGAACGGGAGCTGTTATTCATAATGATGACACCATCTGTTGC